TTTTAGTTGCACTGTGCTACTTGGGATGGCACCGGAGTTCGAAATTAGGTACACTAAAATATCCATCGGAATACGTAGGTTAATTTTTCAAAAGCGATTTTTCTGTGTGCGAAGAATAGGACAAGGAAAACCAACTGCACTTCAGTTCCGTTAGAAAGAAGTACGAAAAGTTGCGCGCAAAGCCAAAACATAACATAACAGCAAGGTAAATACATTGAGGCCATACATGTCAACTAACTGGAAAATATTAACAGGACCCACTAACAACCGTTTTAACCTATATTTTGGGTCCAAAAAACCTCCAAAAATGTTTCCTTCAGACTACTGTGGGATAATCCCATCAAAATCTCCCCCTCCCCCTCTTAAAGAAGGCCGATCAACTTGCTGAACTTTTTTCCTGTGAGGTTTTGAGGAAAATTGATTTTTTAAGTGAAACTGTGCCGACGCGATATGCTTTTCTTGCGGTAAAACTTCCTGGATTAGTGCTTTCCAATCCACTATAAACAGAATCCCGGGTCCCTCAATCGAGTTCTTTCTTTGTAGATTTGAGCAGACTCTTTCTCTGTTTTTTAACCCAAAATAGGAACGTAAGTTTTTGTTATTTTTTCATTTGTAATAGCGCAAATCTGTTTTGTAATTTGTGTAAATAAAATGGTTTTGTATTGACAATGCTATGCTAAAAATGACCATGCCGGTGACTTGTCGAGATCATATCGTTACCAGCATGGCCCGTTTCGCACCTTGGACATTTTCAGGTGTTTTTTCCCATAGTGTTTTTAGAAAACTCCTGTATCTAAATCAATTTATTAAACGGTTGCGTCCTTTTTGAAAAATCCCTAAGCAGAATTTCTTTTTTAACGATTTTGAGTTCGATTTTGTGTCAGCCAAATTAACGCCGAACTCACAATCAGTGTCAGATCGATCTGAAGGCAAAACTGCTCCTCGCCTTTTATGTTGGGAGCCATACTGATGTATGAAAGGGGAGGCTTTGTTGCCATTGCACTTTCGTCAGGATCTATTATTCATTTCACCGAACGGGAAAACCGCGTCCACCCGGCGTCACCGAACAGAGGCGACGTCACGCGCGTCAAGCCTCGTAAGGAATTCATGAGCCGTTTTTACTTGGGCGTGACCGTCCGTGAACTTGAGGATGAGACCTCACTAATTCGTCCTTGATTCAGCGGGGCTCTTTCTTTACTAAGTGAAAGTTACTCCCAGCGGACATCTTAGATTCCATGCTTTTTCGCTATGTCGCAACTTTTAGGAAGTAAATCCGACGATAGACAGTACTTATGGTGTCTACAAGTCTGGAACCTCTGGGAAGTCCGGGAATAGTACTGATTTTTTAAAGGCGGTCCGGAAATACTGAAAAAGTGCGGAAATTCCGCAAGGAGATCCGAAATTTTTTCGTTTTTTGTCACTTTTGTCGCAATTTGAGCGGAAAATTCATATTTTTGAAATTTTTCAAATTTCGTCAATTGAAGGTAATGAAAAAGTACTGAATTTTTCTGTTGAGAAGGCACTGAATTTCTCGGGGATGTACTGAAAAGTACTGATTTTTGGCCAGCTTGTTTTAGTAGACACCCTAATACAGGACTATAAGGAGGGCGAGATGTTAATTTTTAGCGCCCCCACGGCCGGGTTCACCTACTTGCCGCCCATGGGCCGCCTGTATTTTGTCGCCCCCTTCTCATTCGTTTTGAAACATCAATTAAAACCATCAAGTGAACGTGCCGGAAGGGGGAGAGGTGCATAAGACGCAATTACTCGTGTTGGATACATTTTTTGCGAAAGTTCCGTCAACCTCACTAGCAAAATTGCAAGGAACTTTGCGCAAAAGTTAGGTTCCGTAAACCTACCTCTTTGTGGACAAGGCCCTCCATTTATAAGAAATGAACGAAAACATTATGAAAGAACAAACATAAATGTGGTTTAATAATTTCAACTTCCGCCGCCGCGCCACGCTGACCGCACTGTGTTTGGCGCAATGCGTGAAGTATTCATACAGTCTTGTAGGCGTTATGCGTCTCGTGCCGACCGCTGCTGAACGCACTGTGTTTGACGTAATGCATGAAGTATTCATGCAGTCTTGTAGGCGCTATGCGTTTCGCGCCAACCGCTCCTGACCGCAGTGACCGCACTGTCTTTAACGCAATGCGTGAAGTATTCATGCAGTCTTGTAGGCGCTAATATGTGTTACATACCGACCGCCGCGCCGAGAGTTTCTCCTTTCATCTCAAGTTCTCGTCATCATTGCTCTCTGCGCCGCGCCGTTCCAGGCCAAATTGCGTGTTTAGTTTCTCTCTTTATTCGAGTAATGAAAGGTGCTGACTCGTATCACCGAAAGACTATAATGTTAGCAATTACTATACTCTCAGGAAAAAGAGATTTTGTCGCCTTTCCGCGTTGCTGGTAATTTTTTTTCTGAATCTGATTTATTTTTATACCTACATTTAAAAAAATTGCAAAATTTGCCGCCATGGGCCGCGGCTCATGTGGCCACCCTCTTAATCCGGCCCTGAGCGCCCCTAGACGGAACTTTGTTTGGCGCCCCTAAAATTAGGTGTTATCNGGGGGGGGGGGGGGTCGAGAGAAATCGACGTGGAGTAAAATTTCAGGGCCAAAATCGAGAGTTCTCCGTTTGGACTGAAATCAAGTTAACCCTACTTGAAATGATACGAAGAGTCCGGTTTATCGGTCTAGAAAGCTCCACAAGTCCGATGATTCACTGAAACGGCATACGCGTAGCTAAATCATTTCATGGCCGATCAGGGTCATATTATATAACTCCAAATTCCGGGTAGGGTGTATCGGGGCAAACCCCCATCGCCCCACCAAAGCTACGCTCATGGGCCAGCATAAAAAGTAGGTAGAAAATCGTAGACAACATTATAAGAATATGTATAAAAGTAAAATTTCATTACTGTTTTAATCAGAAAAAAGAAAAACACCACGGTTAAACTACCAAATTCTAGATCTCTAATGCTGTCTTAGAACATGTTTACGCGTTTTACATTTTCTTTTTAAAGAATATTGCTTGACTTTTTAGTGCGAAGTTTTAACAAAATATTGCCCAAAAAAAGAAGAAAAAACCATCTATGTGTCGAGCGGAAACGGCGATCAGTAAAGTAACGTCTCTTTGGAAAGTAAAGTGTGACAGGAAATTTGCAAATCGAGCAAGTGTTTCCGAACTGCTCCCTTTTTCCCTTGATTTTACAGCCGATGGATGGGCGGAGAGAGGCAAAGTACATCACAGCGCCTGGATGCAACTATTCGTGGTCTATGGACGCGCGGGTTGCGTGAAACAACTTGAAGGCGCCCTACTTTTTCGACCGTTCCGAAATTCTCTGCGCTGCGCGCCGCTTAGTCACCACTGCGGAAGCGAAATTGACGAGCTAAGCATCTCACTTTGTGATGATGTAGCCTTATTGTCACAGGTCTTGAAGTTCTTCTATACATTCTTGAAGAATTAATCAACATCATTTGACTTATTTTTGTTCTTTCAGGAAAATCCTCCAAAAAATTCGTTCCTTAAGTGTCCACTAATTTCTCCCATTGAGTTCTCTGATTGAACTAAATTCAAATTAGCCTCATCTAAAATGACCCGAGGGGCCGAGGAGTCTAATTTTCTAGTCTAAAATCTCCTCGAGTCCGCTAGTTCACGCGAACGGAAAATAAGGCATACCGGTAAATCATCAAAAACTGTCAGGAACACCCGTTTCTCAGCTTAGAAAGCCGCGACAAGCCTCGATATTGTGTGCAATCTATTTAACGCCTCAAATTACGTAGGACGAGTCTATTATCTCGAAATTTTTCCCATCCAAAATCGAGAAAACCTAATAGGGGTTACATAAGTAAGATTTTATGGCCAATATCAAAAGTTCTTTAATTAAGCTGAAATCACGCTAGCTTACTGTTAAATGATCATCGCTTAACGGTTTCGTCACAGCATGCAGCGAGGGCGCCGGATGGCTTTATTTTTGAATAGCAAGCTATTGTTAAGAATAAATGAATAAGTAAACTGTTAATTCATTATCATCCTGTCGGGTTGCATTAAGGGGAGTGGGTATTACACAGCAGTGGATAGTAAAATTTACGAAACATACATTTTATGAAACGCATACATTAGAACCTAGCGGATGGTATCACAAAGTAATCCAACATTAAGTTTATTAAAATGGTACAGCCTCTAATAAAATTAATGGAATTATCATCTGACTTTTATTGGGGCTTTTATTTATTATGAAGGCTATTTTTTGTTATCGCAGTTTGTTTTGTGAGGTTATTGTCACATAGGACTTGTTTACAAATTAGATTCCATAATATTATACTTTAAACATATCGACGGTGAAGTGAAACTATCAGACCACGTGACTCGGTTTGCGACGTTGCAGACTTACTGCCATACATTAATATCTAAATAGGAAACTACTCAACGTCAATTCTTGAAAACTTTCGTGATTTTTCCCCCCAGTTCGAAAAAAATTATGTGAAAACTTCAAAGAATGATATTGAATTGTTCTCTTCCAAAAAAAATAAAATGTGAGCGGAGATTTTTAGACACCGTAAGCGAGATACGTGATCTGGTAGTTTCACCATCTACATACATTTATTTCCATCAGAGGAAGATTTAGTACCTATTGTGCGAATATAGTAATTTTTGGAGTAATCGGAGGGTCATCAGCTCAGAGTCTCTACAATTTTGTTCCTATAAAACGATAGCCAAAGTGCAAAACCGCTTATCTCCGTTTGCTATACCGCATACTTCCTATTATACTTTATTATTTTTCATTATGGAGAAAATTTCCTTGATTTTTCATTTCTGTTGGCAGAATATATATTCTGTATAAATTTTAAGCTCCAAAGATAGCTTGTTTCTCTTCGGAAAAATAAAGCACGAGTGAAAATTTTGAAACATCGCAATGGAGATGCATAGTTTCGCACTCTAGCCATTGATAGGATGTGAACTAACTTATGATTCTGCTGATAGGGTTGTCTACCTGCGTTTCGGAAGGCGTTTCGAGAATATCATTTCGAGCGATTGAGGACTACTCGAGGCACATGATCGCACAGGAGGGGGATGCAGCTAAAGTCCTACCGGGGCACCATTCCTGATATCACTGATGACTGAGGACATTGGTGGACGCGAAACGGTATCGTCGCGTCGAAGCTGCCGGGTTGTGGGTCGCGTGGCGAAGAGGGTCACGGCAGGTTCAGGGCACCGCCGCGCCGGCCGTCCAAGGGCGCTAACTCCCGTCGCACGGTGGATCGAAACAGTGGCAGTATATTTTAGAACATGGTGTCTAGGACCGAGAAAGATCGGGAAAAATGGGAATCAATCAGGGAATGAAAAATTTCAGGGAAACCTGAGATAAGATGTTCAAGGAACCGGGAATCTCCTCTTCCACCACTTAGAAAACATTTTCTTCTCAAATTCTGCGGAAATTTCATGTTTTTATAATTTTAATCGCTATTAAAGTTCATACCATTGCTCCTGAGTCGTCAGTATTGACCTCCTCAATGACATTTTTGGATTTTCAAATCATCATAATAATAGAAAAAGTTTCATTGGCCAGGTAATATTAACCTATTAAGGAACGATTTTGGAATTACAAATTTTAATGTGCGCTCCAGAATCGGCTGAAAGATGTTTCGATGTTCGTATCTGGAACTTCCCGAGAGTTATATAATTTTTCTCCAAAAAATGCTGAGGAAGTGTGAGAAAATTCCGGTTTTCCATCCCCACTGAACTCTGGATGATCTAATCAGGGAATGAGTCAAATTATTCTCGATGAGCAACTTGTTGAGCATAAAATTCGCTGAGTGATGACCGATGAATTTCGAGGCGAGCACTTTGCGAGGCGAACCTTTGCGAATTAGGTAAGGTCTGCTTAGCCAATAACTCCACACTTTGATCACGCAGTCATCATCAAACTAATCTGAGCGTTGACTGCCAATATTAACTTCTACACTATAGGAGAGATAGCAATGCAGGGTCTCTGGAAAAAAATTGTCTCAGCACAGTTAAAAATGTCCGTGTTTGCGGATACTCAGGGTAAGTTTTCCTCGCTGCCAAATTAAAAAGCCTCCCCTCCCCCCCCCACTGAAAATCTAACTTGTTGATTGTCTGTAAACTTGGTAAGAAACACCCCTTCGGTGTTTTTTGGGTCGTAGGTATCGATAATAATAAGGTCAAAAATTGCGTGCACGCAACATGACCGACCAATTGAATTGACTAATTCGTCCATCTACTGTGCGTCGCACAATGGATCGAATCTATGGGGGAGGTCGGACATAATTTTGAAACTTTAAACGCCTATAACTCCGTTTATACGAAACTTAGAGGTTCTGAAAGTGGTTTCATTGGTTTCCTCGTGAAATTTTCCTTTTGATAAGTACCCCATAGAATCTAACATGTGACGAATTTTCATCAATAAACAAAAAACATCAAAATTTGTCGTTTTAGTTAAGTTTTATGTCCAACTTCTCTAATTGACGCGATCCACTGTACGTTGCCGCACAAGGGTGGCAGGTAGAGATAGGGGGGCGAGAAACACGCAGACAGTCAGATTCCACTGCGGGACGAAACACCTCAACAGCTAAACTCTGGTCATCTCTTACGGTCCAGGGTTGTTTTTGGACACCGGAAAGCGGTTTTTCTCCCTCTTCTGTTTTTCCCATCCAACCCCTTTATTCCAGCTAAATTTACGAATGAAGAAATTGAATATCGATGGCCAAGAAGTGGCAACACGTTTCTCGGAATGCCATGCTTATAAGTCGTTTTACCTCCTGTGGGGAGGGAGGTCTGCGCAAGTTTCTTCTTCGGTGTCGGTGACGGTGACTGACGCATTCTTCGTCGTATCCTTAAAAAAATCAGTTCCGTGAGAGTATCGATGGCCAAAGTGCGAAACCACGTATCTCCGTTTGCAACGTTGCGTTGCAGACTCCCGATCATACTTTATTTTTACATTTGAAGACCAGTCAACTTGATTTCTTGAAAAGTTCCTTTGATTTTTCTCCTTCATTAGGTATCAGAAAATTCCGCAGAAATTTCAGATTCAGGGCCGGATTTATTTACTTGCCGCCCATGGGCCGGCATGATTTTTTCCGCCCCCTTCTCATTCGTTTTGAAACATCAATAAAAACCATCAAGTGAACGAGCCGGAGGGGGAGAGGCGTATAAGATGGGATTACTCGTGTTGGGCACATTTTTTGCGAAAGCCCCGTCAACACTACTAGCAAAAGTTCACGGAACTTGGCGCGAAAGTTAAGTTCCGTAAAGCTATCTCTGTACGGACAAGGCCCTCCGTTTGTAAAAAATGAACCAAGAATTATGAGAGAACAAACATAAATGTGGTGTAGTAATTTTAACTTCCGCCGCCGCGCCGCGCTGACCCCACTGTGTTTGGTGCAATGCGTGAAGTATTCCTACAGTTTTACATGCGCTATGCGTTTCGGGCCAACCGCTGCTGCACGCACTGTGTTTGACGCAATGCGTGAAGTATTCATGTAGTCTTGTAGGCGCTATGCGTTTCACGCTGCCCCCTGCTGACCGCACTGTCTTTGGCGCAATGCGTGAAGTTTTCATGCAGTCTTGTAGGGGCTATTATGTGTTACATGCCGACCGCCGCGCCGAGGGTTTCTCCTTTTCATCTCACGTTCTCGTCATCATACCTCTCTGCGCCGCGCCGTTCCAGGCCAAATTCCGTGTTCGGTCTCTCTCTGTCTTAACTCGAGTAATCAAAGGTGCTGTCTATTGTATCACAGAGGGACGACAAAATTAGAGATATACTCTCAGGAAATGAGAGATTTGGTCACCTTTTCTCGTCCGTAATTTTTTTTTTCTGAATCCGATTTTTCTTTATAACTACATTTAAAAAAATTGCAAAATTTGCCGCTCCCTGAATTTGCCGCCATGGGCCGAGGCCCATGTGGCCACCCCCTTAATCCGGCTCTGGATTGAATACTTCTTTTTCTGTCGTTTTTTTGTGTTATTATTTTTTTCTTTTGCAAGGGAGGAGACCTAGAATAAGGGTTTGGCCTTAGTTTGATAACAGAACAACCACTTCGTGTTTCTGTGAGGAATTGAACTGTTAAATGGTTGATCTCAATGAAGGAGCCAACAATCTTAGTTACGTAGTTGGCTTGTTTCTTCTCGAAAAAATAAAATAAGAGCAGACATTTTGTATTCCAATGGAGACACTTGGTTTTGCACTTTAGCCATCGATATGTTTGTCCTCTCATGAAATGCAATCTAATACCTACACATAAATTTTTCACCTTCAGTACAATATTCCCCCACAAGCTTCTTAATGCGCATAAGATTTTTAACAACTGCTGAGGTTAACTTGTAAAAGGGAAGGGCTATTTTCATGGTGGTCGAGGCATTTTCATTGATCAATCACTTTTCGACCGCTTCCAAGTCGTCTGCGGCCTCCCAAGGTTAGCAGGTCAAGGTCCCAAGCCGGTCAGCTTTTCGTCGAACGATGTATATTTATTGTGGCGTTGTTCAGTTACAACCCCTTTTTCACTCCCTCCTTCCCTCTATGTCGTCTTGAGAAACTGAAATGCAAATCGGAAACGACTGTTTTATGACGGCCACTATAAACCTCCCAAGCGCTTGGCTAAATACTGCTTACGACACAAAGTTGGAAGGGATGAAAGTAAAGTCGATGAAACATTCTACGAGAAACGAAGTGGCAGGATCGGATTAAGGGCAGGGGTGGTACATTGGGAGCGGCTGCACCAGGTGCCGTAACAAAAAGGGTGCTAAATTGAAAAGAGAAAATGAAAATGAAAAGGGAAGGGATTAAAGGAGAGAAAGAATAGAAGAATAAAGATAAAAGGAGCGAGGAATAGAAAAATAGGAAGGAATGAAGTTGAAATGACTCCAAAGTTTTAGTTTAAATTGCTTTGTGTACCTACTTTCAAAAATTTGCCCACGTGGAAAAATTAAAAGCAGCTCTAAAAATTGGACGATTTTATCTTTGTGTGAATAAACAAACTGTGAGAAAAATGGAGCCTGAAGATTATGGAAGCTTCTTTTGACTGTAATATACATAGTTTAGCGAAGGTTTATTTTGGGCAGCAGAGATGGGGTCGTTCCGCTACTTCTCAACCAAAATTATTTGTGCATTCAGGTCTGATAAGTGATTAGATTAAAAGAGGTGATGAACTCTTGGGATTGCTATAATCTCTATTAGAAGAGTCGAACTTTCGATTTTGTCTCGCGTCAATTTTTGAATATGTATCATTCATTAATTTTTTCCAAGTATTGACGATGCAGATTATTGGGAGGAACCCTAAGTCGTCTAAAATCCAATGTTTGAACGAATAGACTTTGAAACAATTGCAAATCTACAGTGAAAGCTCTTTCCCAAAGAAACATACAAGGTTATCCAAAAGTCACTGACCACCCCTGTAACTTTTTTCCAAATTGAGATAGAAGTTTGAAACTTTTTTCTCGGTCTAAGGTAGCAACTTTTTGGTCCCCCCAAAATTTTGGGGGCGGCCCCCCCTTAAGGGGGGCGGGGGCTAACTTTTTTTTTTCAAATGGTAACCCCCCCTTTGTGATACCTCATTCGAAAGATAATAAAAAA